CATGTGGTATGTACTCTTCTTTTGTGGATTCCATTCACTCAGCATAATTATTCGGAGCTCCATCCAAGTTGTAGGGTGTATGAGTAGTTTGTTTAATTTTTTTGCTGGGTAGCATTCCATTGTATTAATATATTACAGTTTTTTTATGTGTTCACCTCATGATGGATATTTTGGTTTGTTTCCAGTTTGGGGTTATTAAAAACAAAGTGACCTATATGTTAAATGAGTGATTCATATTAAAACTAACATTTGTGTATAGGTATTTGTATGGGTGTGTATTTTTATTTTTATTGAATAAATAGCTAGAAGTGAAATAACCATCATATATTAGGAGCATGTTTAATATTTAAGATATGTTTCCCAAGTGCTTGTACCACTTATATATCTACCATAAATCTGTGCGTGTTACAGGTCAACCACCTCTTTCTGATACAGATGATCACCAACTTAATGATGGTTTGATTTAATGATTTTTTACTTTAAGTTGGGTTTATAGGGATATAACCCCATTGTAAACTGAGGAGCTCCTTACAGCTTATTATAATGGGGTTAGGGTTTCTATTGCATGCCTGTGACTTTTGTACCATCATAAAGTCAAAAAATTGTTGAGTCAAAGCATCAGAAAAGTTGGACCATCTGCTGTGTTGCCAGTGTTAAGTGCATTTTTGACTTACATATTATCACTTTATGATATGTTTATCAGGATATAACCCCATCATAAGCTGAGGAGCATCTGTACTTGGTAAGGTCAGCCTTTTAAATTTTAGCCATTCTAATCAGTGTGTAGGGGTATGTTATAATGGTTGTATTTTGTAATTTTGAGTATCTTATCGTGTGCTGATGTGCTATCCATGTATCTACTTTGGTTAAGTGTCTGTTCAACTATTTTACCCATCTGCATTATTTTTATATTTTGTGTTCATATAAGTTTTATGGTTTTGGGTTTTATGTTTGGGTCTATGATACATTTTGAGGTAACTTTTAGTTACGTTCATTTTTTGCATGAATATGCAATTGTTTCTGTGACAGTTTTTGAAAGAATTATTTTTTCTCTACTAAATTGCTTTTGTACCATTGATAAAATTCAGTTTTCCATATACATGTGGTTATATTTCTGGACTGTTCATTTTGTTCTATTGATCTATTTATCTGTATTCTAATACCACACTGTCTTAATTACTGTAGCTTAATGATAAATCTTAAAATAAGGTCGAATTTGTCTTTCTTCCTTTCTCAGAGTCATTTTGTCTCTTTTAGGACATATCAACTATTTCCATATTAATTTTAGAATCAGTTCATTACTTTTCACAAAACAATACCTGACAGAATTTTGATTGACTTATAGCACCGGCTGAGATTTCCAGTATGATATCAAATGGGAGTGATAAGAGCAGACATCTTTGCCTTGTTCCCAACTTTAAGTGGGAAACATTCCTTTCTTTATTTACTGTGATATTAGCTATAGCTTTATTGTAGATGCCATTTATTCAGTTAAGAGAGCTATCCTCTATGCCCGGTGTGCTGAGAGTTTTAATCAGAAGTGGATGTTGGATTTCGTTACATTCTTTTTCTGCATCTATTGAGATGATCATATGATTCTGATTATCATTTTAAAGTAAATTTATGTTAAAGATATTGCTTCATTGTCTTTGTGTTTGCATTGTTTCCTATGATAAATTTGTTGTCCTCATTTTTGTTCCCCTGTACAAAACATGTCTCCTCTCTCCCCAAACTGCTTTTAAGATTTTTTTTTCCAACTCATTTCTACAGTTTGATTATGATTTGACATGGTGTGATTTTCTTCCTGTTTCTGTTGTGTAGGGTTTGTTGAGCTACTTGGGACTATGGGTGTGCAGTTTTCTTTCAAATTTGGAAAATTTTGGCCATTATTCCTTTAAATATCCTTTCTGCCCTCCTGCTACCCTATATTTGGAGACTCCACTTACACATATATTAGGTCTCTTGAAGTTATCCCACAGCTAATTGTTATCTGTTTTATTTTTTCATTTTTTTATTCTCTCTCTTTTTTTTCTGTTTCACTTTGGATTTTTTCTATTGCTGTGTATTTAAATTCACTAAACTTTTCTTCTATAATGTGTAATTTTCTGTAAATCCAAGCCACTGTATTTTTCACATTAAATATCTTATTTTCCATCTTAAGAAATTTAAATTGGGTCTTTGCATTTTCCTTTTCTCTACGTAATTTTTTAAACTGTCATCCAACAGACCACCAGGAAGGCTAAATAGTAGAAAGGAGAGCTTTATTGGCTGTATCAGTTTGGAAACTGGGAAGAGACAGTCTCCAGCATGCACCAAAGGTGCTATGTCTTTGAAGAGGGCAAGGGAAGATTGGTTATTATACCTCACAAGCTCTGTGTCACACAAGGGAGTCATACATATTCAGCAGGTTTTGGGGGAAAGCTATACAGATTTATGAGGGGGATCAAGTTCATGTGTAATGAGTAAACATATATGTAACATATACCCTATGTTCACTTTGAGGCAGGGTGTTAGCATTAAAGTGAGTTGGAATTTAGCCCTTTAGGTTAAAAGGTGAACTGTAAGACACAAGGACAGTTTGTGCACAGTCTCTATTAGCTGGCTGAAACTGGCTTGAGGTCTACATTTACTTATCAGGAAAGAATATTTGTAAAGCCAATTTTCTGTCCAATAAGAGTTGTAGTGGTCTGGGTTGTAAATCAGGGTTAGGAAGAGTCTGCCAATTTGCCTGATAGGTTCTATTGTTAGGTAGTTTAGTAAGAGTGTGGTTTTTCTTGTAGCTTTCAGAATTTAAGAAGTTTCCGTGCCAGCTAAACCCTGAACCCTTGACATGTGGGTAACTTTTGTTTCCTTAACCTTAGGGCTCATTTTACTTGATTAAAGGGGTGTCTAATTTGATATCTCAGATCGCAAAACACATGCAATACTGCACTACTTATGGTACTGTTTTGATGTCCTTGCCTCCGAATTCTAACATCTGTATTCATGCTTGGTCAGTTTTGATTGATAGATTTTCTCTTCATTATACGTCATATTTCTCTGCTGTGTTGCATGCCTGGTAATTTTAGATTGAAGTCAAGACTTTGCAATTATTACTTTGGTTGATGGATATTTTCATATCCTATCAATATTCTTAAGC